TCCTGCTTAAGATGCAAAAACTGTGGGAAAATATACAGCAAAACACAACCTCTAACAGAATGACCAATTTTTTTAAATATATTATTAGAAAGTGATGAGATATACTGAAATCCAGTGGGTGTTTGATACTCTTCTTCAGGGTGAAGCAAGGACCAAGGATCAAGAAAAGCTCCCCAAAGCTTTAATTTTCATGAATGAATTGGCTGCTTGACTTACACATATAACCACATAAGTATCCTATGGAATCTATAAACACTGTAGACTTAAAAAATAATCTACACAATTGTGCTACTTCCATAGATGCAACAGTAGAACGATGATCCTTTTGCTGATGCCAAAGCTAGAGAATAACACAGTAAATTCATATTCCTTACCATCTAAGTATAATAAAAAAGACCATCCAATAAGAGTTTCCTTCTAACATGTTTCACATTGTTTCCCCATGACTTCAATTAACCGGAAAACAAATCTTTCATGGTCCTATCCATGAAATTCAGGGTAGAAGGAAATTAAGTGACATGAGATGTAAGTACAAAAGTCAAGAAAATGCCAAGAACAAGTATAAAATTCATTTCCTCAAAAATAAGTCAGGTTTGTAATTTCACAATGCTAAGTATATAAAGAAACTCACATCAAATGATGGACCATACATACATACATGAAGAAAATGTGGATTAAATTAACTTATTAGTGTTGGTGTTCTTCATGCTCTGTTTTTCACTTGCCCACTACTTTGTCCTTGATAATCTCAGTAGTGTTCTTGGCCACTCCCCATGCGCCTGAGACTGTGCCCTTTGTTTTGTCTGTGATGGTATCTGCTGTTTCAGATACCTTCTCTGTCGTATCTTTGGCCATTTTGGTCATCTGATCTCCCAAAACATTCAGAAGTTTAAGAACAAATGGTTTCATAGTTCAATTCACATTGATAAGTGCTGAATGGATGCAATGTTTTAAGTTAACATGTATATCTTTTGTTATTTTTGTGCATTGCCGGCACTAGCAGAACTAGGATTTTTAGATTAGGGGGTTAAAACTTAAAACTCAATTGTAAATGGCTTTATCATAGAGGGCATGATTTTGGCTTCGCCCCTACATATATATACTACATTCCTTGACCACATTGTAGAGCATACAACCTCTCACAAAATAAACAATAACAAGGTCGGCCTAAAGGTAAAACGCGCAAGCTTACATCTTGGGTTAAATAAACAACCTATTCCTTGGAAAAAAGAAAAGAAAAAAGAAACCCTATTCACTGGATTAAGGCCCTTGTGTTAAATGAAGTTTTATTTATTTGAGAGATTATTGTAAACATGAATTACGATTATTGTAATTAAATAGCTAAATCATTTATAATCGGATTTTTTTTCTTCCAAGAAACTATGATCATTGAGTTATTTGAAAAATAAACAGTTTGGATATGAAATCACATTTATGATCCTTATAAGATGTGAATTAAATAGCCAATTAGTTAGCGTAAAAACTCAGTTTTTTTTCTTAGGTTGGAGAGAAATTCAAGTCCCACAAGAAAATTGTAGATTTAAAACCGATCCACTAATTTGTCTCTGGAATCGCAGTGCTCCTACTCATTCAAGCATGATTAGTTTGTGTGAGTGGGTATTGAGCCTTACTGTTTTGGTAGTCTTTTCGATAGTGTCTCTCATGAATTCACAGGTATGTCTCACTTCTTTGGCTCCATCTTTGACTGCATCTGCTGCTTCTTTCGTCTTTTCACATGCATCTGCCTCGTCGTCCTCCTTCTTGGACTGTGGTTCACCAAAACTTTGTTAAGCAGCATAACATATATATAACATGATCCACACGTTATACAATAAAAGCCATTAAATTTTCAATGTTACTCATATTATAACACGTGTATAGTTATTAACACTATAATCTAAAGTTTAAACATGTTAGTATTGCGTGTTATAATTTTGGGTAGATTGAAATCACCATGTGGCAAGGTTATCGTCACATACAAAAATTTATTTGGTAGCATCATTATTTAAAAGGCCAATCTTATTATAACAAATAGCAAGTGTCTAGCCAATGACACAAAGAGGGGCATTATTTTGATGTTCTTACCATAATTTTTACAAGGTCATTGACCAATCTACAATAACTGCTAGTCTGGTACCGACAATGTCATAAAATATTTAATCAGTTATAAAAAAATGTACTAGGTATTGTAGATTGATACCGCATCGCAAAACAATTTGGCTACGAATTCGAAACATGAATTAGAACTCACTTGCAAAGGTCTTGTAGCAGCAGTGACAAAAACTCTAGTGCTTAGGCTGGTAAGAGCGCCTCTATCAGTTATTGTTTTGGTTGGGAGGGCTGCAGAGAGCTTTGCCATGAGCTTCAAGGATGACATCTTTTGCATATTGTTTGTTTTTATGGTTATGGGTTCACTTGCAGAAAGTAGTTAAATCTCTGGTTGGTCTTGATCTCGGATTACTTATATAACGCTTGGGGGAAGAGGAGGTAAATATGTTGCCATATTTCAATTCCTTAACATGTTGTGTCACAAATTGAGCGTATTTCTCTATTTTGTGGTCGAATGGCTGTTAATGTCAAAATGGAGCCTTCTATTCAGGGCACTCTGGTAGATTTTCCAGGAGTAATGTTAGGTGCTTCTGTTTCATGGTGTCAATCTTTTATATATATATATATGAGGCGGATTGGTGGCTTTATATATATATATTTTTATAGAAGTTATGATACAACTTTTTAACTATTAGGTCTCTAAAATTTCAAGAATTGAGATGTGTTATGGCAAAAATCCCCGCCGGGGCAAAAACAAATTGTAAATCTTAGGTCCAATCACTTTTAGACCCACAGATAAGAACTTGAGTGTGAGAATTTTGGTGTTGCATTGGAGATGACAACGTATCACTATTTATTGGGCTCAAACAAATTAAGAAGCAAATCAAGGAGGAACATCAATCTTTTAATTTTTGTTTTAAGAGAAAAAGAGTAAATGTGTATATGCGGGTTAGGCTAGTTGGCCACGGTAGAGTTCGTCCCCTCTTGCACTTAAATTCGAATACACTTCCTCGTAGATTAGAGTAATTTAGAATATCGCTTGTGTCATAAAAATAGAAGAAGCAAATGATTGAGTAAAGAATCTTATTCATTAATTTGTAGACCGATTAAGCATAATTGTCATAATAATTTATTCAAAAGAGTAATGCTAGGATAAGATTCTGTCTGGGATGCCCTCTCTATATCGTTGTAAGCCAGTCCTCATATAGACTGGCAATTCTGAAGTGAGACATTATGTTTCACAACAACAAAACTGATAAAATGGTGGCTGGCAGTCCCCTCCCTTGAAACCAATTCTCTGGCAAAATGCATTGCAATCAGGCTGGTCTTCACATTTTGCTCGACATTGCAAGTCGGCCATTCCTGAAACAATCCAAAAATTAAAACGTATTAAAACGAATTTAATTTGTAGCAAGAAAATTAATGGTCAAACATTGTATATGATTTCCAAATTTCAACATACCAAGTGAAGAGAAGACCATAGCGATGACAACCAACAAAATGGTTAATTTCTTGGCAATGATGCAAAAATACCCACTGGCCATTTCTCTTTGCTTTTGACTTCAACTCCTTGCAATGACGAGCCAATGGTGAATGGTGATGTTATTTATATGATTAGGAGAAGATCTAATTAAGGAAACATAATCCTAGGCTGACTCATGCAATTATGCCCAATATTTTTTCATCCTTCAATTCTCCTAAGCTTTTAAGGAATCATATCTCACTGTCAACCACTTGCTATATCTTCTATGTACATTATTATTGGGTTATTGTTGTCTAGATTTTTTTCCATTCTTCTGAAGGTAGTAATAGAGTTGCCCTAATAAGTGGATATCCAGCCCCTAGGGCAGTGAAACCTACCTTGATTTTACTTTGAAAAAACAAAACCTACCTTGAAAATGTTAAAAACATGCATTTTTTCTTTTTATATAATAAATATATAGACATTTTTCTCTAAAAAAAATAAAAATAAATACATAGACATTTTCCACATGTTTTCATATTTTTCATTCTTTTCCATGATATTGCATTAATTGAATTGAAGAGTCTATTGGAGCAAAAATGATTCAAGTAGAAAATAAGGCTTTTTCGAATTGTGACGTAGGTCAACAAACTCTATTTGTTTGGTAACTATATTTGCACACATGGATTTGAATTAAGAAGGGGCTTTACCATATAACGACAAATAGGAGGGAACGAAGACAAAATGGTCCAATGCCTCCAAAATTGGACAAATCGGCCCAGTCACTATCGGACAGTGACATGAAATAACTTTGAACAACTCTCGTGTCACTGTCCGACTGTGACATAAGAGTTATTTCATGTTACTATCGAATAGTAACTGGACCGGTTTATCCAAGTTTGGAGGCACTGGACCATTTTAACATTTTGTTTTTTGTAATGGACTTTTTAATCATTTTCTGAATTAAGAATTTCAACTAAAAAATTAAAGTATATTTAATTAAATAAATTTTCTTTAAATAATGCTATAAAATAAATAAATAAAAATTCCCAACCATTTAAATAAGTCATAACAAACTGCCATTTTTATCGTCCAATGTAGTAAACCTAGTGACATTGCAAGAGACGCACACAAGTCACAACACTACCAAATTTGGCAATGCGCAAGAATGACATGACATTAATTGACTTCCTTCAATTTTCCCTTCTTTTGATTCCACCTAACTTCTCAATCGATCTGATCCCAAATTCAAAGCTCTCATTCATTTTCATTTCCCTTCTCGAGACCATTGAAAAGCACCAAGTCGCATGCTCCTCTCCATTAATTACTACAACTCTTTATTAATTACCCTCAACTGTCCCCTCCCTTCGCACCTCTTCATCCCTCCCCTATATAAACCATGCACAAACCCCTCAGGTTTCGTTCAAAGAGAGCAACACCAAGTGTGAGTTAGAGGGTTTAGAGAGAGAGAGAGAGAGAGTGATCACAGATGGAGATGTGGCGTGTCGTTTTGGTGCTTGCTTTGTCATCAGAACTATTGCATGCAAGCAGTGCACGTAAGGTTCCTGGCGATGACCATGTTAGCCATAATGAGCAAACCGTGGTTGTGCATGCAAGTGCACCAACGGCAGAGTCACCTACTGACCTTGGTGACAAGAAGAACTTCATATATGGCGGCGTTGGTGGGTTTGCTGGGATGGGAGGATGGGCTGGAGTTGGCGGTGTGATGCCTATTCTTGGTGGAATTGGTGGTGGGATTGGCAAAGCTGGTGGAATTGGTGGTGGGATTGGCAAAGCTGGCGGAATTGGAGGTGTTGGAGGAGTAGGAGGTATTGGAGGTGTTGGTGGTGGTGCTGGCGGTCTCGGCGGTCTTGGAGGGTTAGGTGGTGGTGCTGGCGGTCTCGGCGGTCTTGGGGGGTTAGGTAGCGGTACCGGTGGAGTTGGTGGTGTTGGCGGGTTAGGTGGTGCTGGCGGAGCTGGCGGTGTGGGTGGTGTAGGTGGTGCTGCTGGCAGTGGAGTTGGTGGTGGAGCTGGTGGCATTCTTCCAAGTCCTTGATCACTTTTTTTCTAAATATTTCATTGCTTTGCATGCATGGCTAGCTGTCTGATTAGTAGAATGGTCTTTTGTTAATTAGGCCTATTAGGGATTTGTCCTTGCTTTTTCGACTTTATTATTATCGGTCTCTAGTTGTAATTGTTGGGTTGTCTCTTTGAGGCATGCATCCAATAATGGTTGTATCTGTTTCCATTGTTTTCTAATTATGTTTGAATTGAATGGAAGTTAGCCTTCATTGTCCTTGAAATTATTAGTCATGATGAATTGATTTATTAAGTTAATCCCCTACAGGCAGCGCTCTATATATCTCTTCAAACAATATAATTTTGATTGTTACCAAGCATAATATTATCATAACAAAAACAAAGTTTCGTTAAACTTCAAAAATGATAAACTTTATGATTTTCATACTGCGAGTTAAATGGCAATTGACTATCACCCTAGTTCAGGTCTTTAGTGTTCTACCAAGTGGTTTTAGGTTCAAGCTTCCTTCCATGGTTCATAGGTTCAAGCTTCCTTCCATGGTATTCGTGTGTGTGAGTTTCCCTCCTCTCGTTTTTAATTTGAAAGAAAAAAGGCCAATTGACTATCATTCCATGATACTTGTGTGCGCGAATTTCCCTCCTCCCTTTTTAATTTCTAAGAAAAAAAGCCAATTGACTATAGTAAAAGAAAGAATGAAATTTGAAATATATAAAAGTCCATAGTTATGTGATCGATACTGAACTTCCGTTTTGCATGGTGAACATCTGTACGGCTTGTTCTTGCCCGCGACAGTGTATGTGTTTGTTCTTAAATTAATGTCAGGCAAGCTCATATCTGACATGTAGTAAATTGGCTGAGATTATTATTAATGATAAAAAAGTTTATCACAAATTATGTCACTCTTATTCCATATGGGCAATTATTTCACACGATTATACTAAAGCATATGATTTGTTTTACATAGATCCAGTGCATGTGTTCAAATTATTGGATTCGGAAGTCATGATATGAAATAATCAACATAAGATTCACCATGTCTAGCAAATCAATTCACAAAATACATCTGAAAATTGAAAAGCTTTAATTTGGGTTAATGCATCCTAGAATCATGCCACAATTCTGAATTGAATTACAAGCTTTTGTGGAAATCCATGACGCTCTTCCTTTAGCCAACCCCACCCCCTCCACCTCCTCCACCCCCACCACCA